TCGAACGGCGACTGTGGTGGAAACAAGTAACCGGTTCTTTGCCGGCGACCCCGAGCCGGCTTGCCCGTCGGATGTTTTGCTACGTTAAGTTGTCTCCAGCTGTTGGAGCGCAAGAAAACAAATGTCGACTTCACCTGGTCGTTCGACTTAGTCATTTTCTGCTTTTTAAGTGTTTACAGCTGAGCCTTGGCTTTGCGCACGATTAGGCACCTAGCAGCGATGTCCAGAGACTACGGACCAAGTAAACACGATTAAACGGAGGTCAGTTTCCGACCGGCTGGCCGAACGTATGAACAGCGGCTGATGACCACGGATCTGGGTGCTGCGCATTAAGACCTGGGATAGATGGTTACGTCTTACCCTAGAGCTACTTTTCATCGTTACTGGTCGGTTGAGCTTCAGCGTTAATGAACTCTGTCAGTCGACTGGTGTGCTTATTTGGAAGTTGTCCCGCCGTCACTCTTAAATGATTGACCTCGGTTGTTCAGTCGGTAAAACGTCTGACTCATAATCGAAAGGTCTTGCGTTCTAGCGCCTGGTCTGGTCGCTCGCTTTTCATTTTCCCGAGATTCACGAATGAGTACCATTCTGAGGGAATGAAACAGGAGATTGATCTCTATGCTTGTAACGTGTCTGCTGCCTACTCTGCTTTTAAAATAAGGCTCTCCTGGTTAATGGCGTGTAAACAAAGAGCAGCACCCACCGATCAACTTCATAAAGAGAGCGTCGAAAATGGTCCTATCATGAAGGTATAAGTAAGATGGGCACTTAACTGCTCACTGCCTTTCCTTTCCATCATCCGCAAATGGCATCGTTTATTCATTTTCAGTTTCTGCTATTCTTTTCAGGTCTAAGGGGCGGATACCTCTTAAATCCCTCTCTCCCTAGTCCTTCAGAAAGGATGACCTCCGTGAGCCAGACTCCAAAACTCAACAATTCCAGGATAAATGAAATGAATGCTGTATTGGCTACTTAGACTCTTCTTCTTGCTCGAGCATCCTTGTACTCGTTCTGCACGTTCATTCATCTCAGAACAATGAAACATGGGTGCTCTTGACTTGTTTCGAATCCACAGTTAGATGTGCTTTCGACCGAGTGCAAACAGTTTATTCCAGTCCATGAGCTTCTAGGATGAGGCCGTAACATTGCATTTTTGACCAGTTGGCTAGCAAGGAATAACGAGCAGTGAGGTAGGAACAACGTTTGGAGAGGAATATTGCCATTCTCTGTTCAGTAATAATTGCCTAATTATAAAACAAGCATAAAGCTTTGAATGCAACAGACACCGTAAACAAATAATGTTCTGCTTACTGCGATTCGAGGCAGCGATCCAGCAAACACTGAAAAACGAACAGCGTAGCACATCGCCAACGTTAATGCAGATCTGGTCCTACTGTGACTACTTTTCTTATGTTCTGACAGCTCGTTAGGCGTTTCTTTCCTATCCTACTTTTTGACAACAAATGTTTTTCAACAGATTTCCCAATTTCCATTCCGGTCACATCAATGGAAACTTTGGCATCAGCTTTGCCTGGTGTCCTCTACCATGGATCACATATTTTGCCATCAACATGTTCTTTCATAGTGTGAAGAGTCTAATTTAGAAGACAGATTTTCTGTCATGAGCAATGTTCTTTTTGTGTCGCGCGGTTGGAGAGTAAGCAGCTATTTGACTTTAGCATCTTTCTAAGTGAGTGCAGTAAGCGAGGAAGAGAAAACAGTTGGAGATCCGAAGAACGGTCTCTACGACCTGTACAGTCATTTTGGTCTGAGGTCTTTCAAGTCAGTTTTATAATTGGTTCTCAATTTTTTCTTGTACCCAAGTGGATTTGCGGACAGCATTTCTCAGCGCGAAACAATTTCTCAAGAAAAAACGATAAATTAGGATTAACGAACAAGATGGCGCGGTCCCCGGTCATCACAGCACTAGGAAGACAAAGAAACTATTTCAATAAGCATTGTTAAGCAATGCTGCTTCACCTCTTTGGGGCTGCATATTTAATATTTTGTAAAACAGGCAGAGAGAAGCGGGCGGAAGAAGGGGCATTCGTTATATACGGTAGGTAGGCAAGGCCGATGTGCCGCCTTACCTTCTGAAGCAATCGTTTACTTATCTGGAAGCTCACTGCGAGCGTCTGAAGTTACCTTTCTTCTGCAACTAAATTTGAGAAACGAATACGGTAATTTTCTTATAAGCGTTTATTTTTTTACGAAATTGAAGATTAATCTTTCTTCTTCATTTTTTCTATGTATCTGTAAAACTCTCGAGGACGGAGTGAGAGAATTTCTGTTGACTTGGGATTTAGCGGTTAACTTTTGAACTTCACACTGTGATTTCCGTGCTTTGCGAGAAAGCACCTACTTCCACATAACAACGTATCTCTGCAGAGCCGATCTGTTCAACCGAAGAGATCTGAATGTAGCCATTGGCGTTCACTTAAAACATTGAAAACCAGTTCTGAACGTGTTGAGCGAGCTTTCAATCGAACAAACTCATCAGCATAATGTAACTGAACGTTTCTTGAACGTTCAGAACTCATACACTGTAGTTGCTTCTCGTTTCCACACTACACAAAGGAATCCCAATCTAACACTTGACGTACATAGTTAAGTTAGAAGCGAAAGTTATAGAGATGGTCATTTTGAGACTGCAGCAGAATGAGGAGTAAGTCCTAGAAATCTCAAAGAGCTTCTCTGGATTTGCACGGCATATTCACTCGTTCTTCTTGATCAGCAACGGCAAATGCTATTATAGCATCTGCACTGTATAAATGCATATATCCCTTTGGATACTGGCATTTCAGTTTCCGTTAGAACGCGATTGTGTTCTACCCGACACGCTGATGCGGTTTTGCACCCATTTATTGCAGGTGTTAAAGTGCTATTAAGTTTTGGACTCTTTAAGAACCCACAGGCCAGTAAGCTCAAGGAGCGGTGAGATCACTTCTTGCGAAGCTGCAGGAGTTGCAGAATAGTTACTTTTCATACCGGTGGATTGAAAATTAGTAATTCGCTGGATATGCCGTCATATTTGCATATAATTGCCGAAAAGTCATTATCACAATCATCCTCCATCATCTTTCGATCTATTGCGGGATGCAAGTCACTCCAAGGTATCGCTAAAAGTTTTTTTGCGATTGTTATCCTCATTGCTCTCAGAAACTTCTTGAAATCGTGTCGGCGATCTGGAGGTTGTCTTTTGTACTATCCATTTATTCTCTCTTGGAACCAAGTGTAACTTCTCTCAGGTCTAAAGGTGGTCGGTTCGTCTTGTCTGTCTGAACCCTGACACAATCGTTGTGGAAAAGTTACCTGAACATCTGTATCTTGGGAGCGCATTGGCTGTGAATAAAAACAGTGACAAAACGGTAAGGGGCGCGGTGCTTGGCATTAGCAAGGAACAATAAAGCAGCTTAAGCCCTAGAAGACAAAGATATTTGCAGCAACACAAAGCTGCACCTACGCAGTTCGTGCACTCTAAATATCGTGAAGAGAACAGCACCTAATAAAGCTGAAAACAGAAAATAGTAAGCGATGGATATGAAGATTTTAAGAACAGCAGTAAGAGCGAAATGGTAAAATCATGAAAGGCGATTGACCGGTTGCAAGCAAGGGGTTTAAGATGGGGAAGCAATCTTCGTTCCAAAGAATGGATTGGACGATAGCCGCCTTGCGAGGCAAATAGTGAACGCAAAGCCTGATCTCTCCCTCGACGAAAAAGTGAAGATTTTATTTAAGATCACATGTCATCGAAAGAACTGAAAGGTGAGCCCCCATTTATTCGATTTAGTCAGAATTTTTGCACAACATCCAGCATCCACTTCGATGCAACGGGATCAAAAGGGAAAGAACGCTCAACAATTCATGCCCATTAATGTTTTCAAAAATGGTGTTGTCTGAAGCGTTGAAAAAATCACAGAATTTTCCTACTCGAAAGATCACAGGAACGGAGGTAAGCGAACTGCGCGTGAGGTTCACTTCACGCAACTTTACACCGCTGTCTTGTCAAGGACAGGTGATGCCGCACGAAGGCATCAAAGTTTCACGTCAGCTTAAACTGAAGAAGTCGCTGACTTCAAAGAAGTCACATCAAGACTGCACACTTGTTAGACTGACAGAAAGGAACATGAGACATCGGTAGTCGACGCGACGGCATGTTATCAAGTTTAAAATTAACATCCCTTTCACTCCATGGTACCGATATCACGCCTGCTTGGTAGCTGCAATTAAAATATCTCGACCACAGCAACCTCGTCTGTCAATAACCTTGAAAGTTTTGCAGTAAATGACCACAGTCAAAGAAATTGAACCTAGTCCCCAACTTGCAATTGAAACAACGACTAAATGTCATTTTTTGTTTAGAAGTAAGACGTCGAAGATAAAACGATAAAATTGAAACGACTTAACGGGATTTCGATTATTCAGACGGTA